CCTCCAGCTTCAAGCAGCAGAACCTGGAGCAGCGCCAGGCCGACGTGGAGTATGAGGTCAGGTGCCTCCTCAACAAGCCAGGTGAGTGCAGCCTCGTGCCCTCGGGCGCCACCCAGGCCTGGGACACGGGAGCCGGCCTGTCCTTCCCCTCCAGGCTGGGCAGTGGACGGACAGCGCCCTGAAGGGGTCACACCCACTGTGGGAACAGGGCCGGGGAGAGGGCTGGGAGGCGCCGTCTGGTTGCATCAGGTTATAAACAGGCTGAGCCAGCAGGGGAGTGTGGACACATGTTGTCGGAGATGACTGGCCCACAGAGCACCAAGCTCAGGAACAGACTGTGGCTGCCCCCCTCCTGGGACGTGTGGGGGGGCGGATTCCCCGGGGGCGGGGCTCAGGCTCCAGAGCCCAGGGCTGCTCTGATGAGTGGATGACAGCAGCTCTGGGCTCACGCCCTCAGGCTAGAGCAGCCTGGGCTAGAGCACAGCAGGACCTGCCCGCACTGGGAGGGAGGGGCAGGACCGGCTCAGGATGGTGGAGGGGCAGCTGGAGGGCCGGGGTGGAGGCAGACCATCCTGTGTTTTGCTGCTAATGTGCTGGGGGCGGGGCCTCCCTGAGCCTCAGTGGCTTCAGGTGTCAGACAGGATGAGGGTACCTACCCCACAGGGTGTTCTTGGGGCCAGGCGACAGTGGGTGTGGAAATACTCTGTGGCCCCTGAAGGGCGGAAATGATGGTTATTAAGTGGCTGAGCTGGGGTCCGTGGCTGTGACATGGGAGCCGCAGCTGCAGGCCCAGAGGCCCAGGGACTGTGGAGTGTTTAGAGTGGGAGCCAGGGCTCTGACCACTTCCTGTGGCCCAGGTGTGGCACCGTCATTTCCACCAACAGGTGAGCCAGAGAGGTGGAGTCTTGCCCATGGATGGTGGACCTGGGCTTCTACCTGTGTCTCTGACCTGGGCCCGACCCTGTAGACACAGCCCTTCCGGCCAGCGGGGTCGGTGCTGCCTCTCCATTGACTGGGGAAGTTGGGAGGTGGGATGAGGCCCGGAGGCCAGAGTGTCCCTGGGAGAGTAGTCACTCCCAAATCTCAGGGAAGGCTAAGGCGTGGCCACCCTGGAGGGAGCCACAGCGACACCCTGTGGCCAGAGTGGGCACAGCACCTGTATGCCCGGCCAGCCTGGCTCTGGCCTTACTGTGTTGCTTCTCCAGCCCTCTGCACGGTGACAGCACATCCTAGCTTTGTCACCTGTCCCCAAGGTTGCTTTGGCGGGTGGGACTGGTTTATAAGGGCCCATAGATACCATAAGGGCTGCAGATGGTGAGTGTCAGGTCGCCCAGGTTCAAATACGGGCTCCATCCTTGCTGTGTGACACTGATCACGGACTTGACTTCCCTGAACCTCAGCTTCCCCCCATGGAGACTGGTGACATAATTTACCCGGGCTCCAGATCTGGGAAGTGGCAGAGTAGGACTTGAACTGGGGGACTTGAAGCCCGAGCTGTCCCAGAACTGTGTGGGCCACCTGCTCCTGCCTTGTGCGAGGTGAAGTGGAAGGAGCTGGGCATGGCTGGGAGTCCTGTGGTGGCAGATGTGGAGGGAAGGCCCACGTGGGCACTCATCCCCGGGGGCCTGTGGGCTGGGTGGGAGGATCCTGAGGGGCAGGTGGGCCCCTGAGGTGGTCCGTGAGGATTCTTGAGAGGAGACTGGAGGAGCAGCAGGTGTATGGCTGGGCTCCCTGCCCCAGGGCCCCCTCTAGTCTGCCCTCCTTCATGGCATTAATGTTCCAATAAGCCACGTGGGTCACCGGGCTTCTCCTGCACGAGGACCCTGGGACTCCCTGTTCTTTCTCCACCCCTGCTCCCCTGGCCAGCCGCCTTGGGAGGTCCTCAGAGGCCCAGCCCCATCCCGCCTCCTCCGAGAAACCACTGTGAGCACTTGTGAACGAATGAATGCGCGGAAGCAGGAGGCCGTCTGCATGCGCTGGTCTCTGGTCTCTGTGCTTAGAGCAGGTGCTGTGCTGCCTCCTGAGCCCCACGGGTGGTGTTTCTGGTAGGCAGCCCTGTAACCTTGGTCGCTTCTATAATGACCTTCATCTTTCCCAACACGTGGACTCCCCACCCATCTGCTCCTCCATCCTGGCCTCTGGCACAGGGCTGGCCCGAACTCAGCACTTAGGGGTTGCTGCCTGGCTTCCTGGGAAGGCAGGGGCGTTTCCTACCACTCACACCCCCAACTTTTCTCCTTGGGCAGAAAAGGACTGGACAGAGGAGGACCGGGGCCGGGAGAAGGTGCTGATGCAGGAGATGATGACTCTCATCGAGCAGCGCAATGCCATTGTCAACTGCCTGGATGAGGACCGGCAGAGGTGACCAGGCTGGTCAGGGCTCCCCGGGGGCTCCTGGGGGAAGGGCTCAGAGCAGGCGGGCCAGCCCTGCCCTCACTGAGCGACCCCAGTGCACCCTTGTTCACCCTGGGGGAGTCGGAGGCTGGAAGGGACTGGGATTTTCTGGCCCTTCCTCCTGTGGGACACGCAGCTTCCCTTTCTCGTTTCAGGGAGGAAGAGGAAGATAAGATGTTGGAAGCCATGATTAAGAAGAAAGGTGAGGTCCCTCCACGGCCCCGGCCCCTTTGAACTCCAGGTTGAACAGAGGGGTGGAGTGGGCACTACAGGGATGGCATGTGCCAACTCCCAGTTCTGTTTTGTTGGGAAGCCGTGTGTGGCGAGGCAGGCGGCCTGTGGCCAGGAAGACCGTGGCCTGGGCTTGGAGGGTGGGTGTGGCTGCCCAGTGCCCACAGGGAGCACCGGTGTGCTGTGAGCATTTTCCCAGCGTGGTTTACCGAGCTCTGCCTTCCTCCCGGAGAGCTGCAGCTGGTCTTAGAAGTCTGTGGGCTCCAATAGCAGTACCTTCCAGCAATAAGGCAGGGCCTGCAGCGGTTAAGGGAGCACTGAGCGGGCAGTCAGGAGACCTGGGTTTAATCTTAGTTCCACTGTGACTCATGTTGTGGCCTTGCGGCTGCGTCTGGACTCCAGTCAGACTGCTGGGCTTCCAGCCGCTCTGGTGCGTATTAGGGGGGGACTTGAGCCTGACTCTCCTGGCCTGCAGAGGCCCCGCCTCCCAGGTGTGTGCTGAGGATACTGGGAAATGTGTGGGCAGCACTTCGCCAGGGCCTGGCATCTACAAAGAGCTCAGTTGGTGCTAGTCCGTTGCAAACCCACATTTTCTCGTCTGTCTATAAAGTCGGGGCACGGAGAGATGATTTCTGAGGTTCCTTCCAGCTCTGAGTCAGTGTTTGTGTTGTAACCCACGGAGCTGTGAGCACCGGCCTAGGGAATCAGCCTTTTAAAGATAAACGTATGCCATACTTCAGACATCGCACATTCCTTTATCCCGGATCCTTGCCCAAACCCTGGGAGAGAATATGGTTCCCATCCTGTAGGCAAAGAACCAGAGGCTGAGGGCGAAGTGACGTGCCCAGGGCTCCCGGGAGGAGGTGCCGGCTCTGTCACAACCCTCCCCTCCCCTCCCCCACGTTGTTGAGGCTCCGCTCTCTCTCCTGCAGAGTTCCAGAAGGAGGCTGAATCCGAGGGCAGCAAGAAGGGGAAGTTCAAGAAGGTGAAGGTGCTGAAGCTGCTGGGAAATAAGCGTGACGCCAAGAGCAAGTCCCCCGGGGACAAGAGCTGACAGCGAGGGGCCTTCCACCCCGTGGCTCAGCCTGTCCGGGCTGGTTCCTGTGACTCCGATGCTGTGTCAGACCCAAGGAGCAAGCAGGCTCCAGGGTCCAGGGTCCTGGGTCCGGGGAGCGGCAGCGGCCGCGCACATCTGCCCCTCGTCCCGCCCAGCCCGGCTGTGACGGCAGCTCCTGGGTCCTTCCTTCTGGGTCACGTCCAGACGGGATTCTTCGCTGTTAAAGTTCGGACCTGAGGGTCCTTCCCCCACGAGGTGTGCGCCCGGCCTCCTGCCTCTAGGGCCCTGCTCCTCGCAGGCAGAGAGCCGGGCTTGGCTGCGCTGGCTGCTTCCTGCCCGGCCTGCCCCGGCCTGGCCCCGTTCCTGTCTTCCTCGTCGGGCAGGTGGCCCGAGTCCGCTTCTCCTCCCTCGGGAGCTCTATTTATGAAGCCTCCATGTTGCTCGGTGACTGTGTCCTCAGCCAGGAGTGGGGCTGATGGACGAAACCCTCCCTGTCTCTGAGTTCCAGGAGGCGCTTCCCTCGTTCCTTGCTCTGTAGGAACCTCACAGGACAGGGGCTGTGATGGTCGCACTGGGGACCTGGGTGCCCGAAGCTGAGTCTCCCCACAAGGGTCTCGGAGGCAGGCTCGGTGGCAGCTCCCTGATTGGCTGAGGGGTCTGCTTGGTGTAGGTGCTAATCCCGGTCTCTAACACACTGTAGTCTGAGGCCCCATGGAGGCTCACCCCGCCCCCCGGGGGGGAGGGCCCGTTCCTGCGTGTGGTCATCACCAGTCTGTCTGTCTCCTCACACTCCTGTTGCTTGTTCTCCCCGACTTATTCCCACCAAAGGACTGACCGCCTCTCCCCCCACTGGGAGGAGCGATGGGGACCAGGCCTTTCCCCAGGGACTGTGCCAGCAGCTCTTGGTCGAAGCACTGTGGCTATAAGCTAGTTCTGGGACCTCCAGGCCCCTCCCTCAGCTCGCCGCCGGGGAAGACCTCACTGTATGCACTCCAATGAATGGAGACCACGTCATTGCCGTGCCCTGCAGCCTCGGGCGCTGTGCCCTTGGCCAGTCTGCCTTCTTTCCCGGTGCCTCCGGTGCCTGGCCTCACTGGTGGCCCAGGAGGCGTGTAGGGGCTCTGGCCCTCACTGCCCGCCCTCGGGCGCGACTCCCTTGCTCTGGAGGGAGAGGTGGCTCCCGCCCGCGTAGCCCTGGCAGTCCCCTTCCTCATGTGCCTGTTGCCCTGGGGCTGGGTCACCGACTCCAGGGCCTTTCGGGGGCCAGGATGCAGGAACCGGGCTGGGGTGCCTGTGTCAGGAGACTCGGGTGGTGGGGACTACCGTGGCCATGTGCCCAGTGTCGTCAGATCTTTCCATTTTTCAAAAGAAGCTAGAAATCCAGATTGTGTGTGTGTGTAATTTGTAATGTTGGCAACTAATCTGAAATTAAATCGAGGGCAGGCTGAATGTATCCTGGGTTCCGGTTTGCTGCCTCGGGGCCATGCGGTGGGGCCGCTGCGGGGGAGGACAGGCCTTGTCATGTTGCACCCTCTGGCCTCAGGTTCCGGAGGGCGTGTGGACACAGGCTTCCCATGGAATATTCCTGAACCAGCCCTTGATCTGGCCCCCCTCCCTGATCTGTTTGAGGCAGGTGGAGTTTACCCTACAAACCCAAACTTGGGTCATGTGGCCTGCAGGGTTATATGACTCCCGGGTGGGAGGGCTGCTGGACATTTTCAAAATATTTTGATTTACGGAGACGGGAAATGACAGACTGCCGGGGAACGGAGGGCTCATGATTGCCAAAGCCGTGGGGGCCGTGCAGCGTGCCTGGCCCGGGCTGCCGTGCTGGGCAGATGCCTCCTTTGAGGCTGGGCCTCACAGGTGAGGGTCAGAGCTGAGGCCGGGGCCAGAACCGTGGGTTTAGTGGAAAGACGCAAAGCTGACTTAACCCTGAGTCGGCTGCTTAACCCTAGCGACGTGACCTTGGTTTTTGCAGCGTGTTGAGCCTCCGTTTTCACGCTGGGATGACAAACCTTTGTGGGGGGACGGGGGTATGGAGAGAATGACCGTGAGAGGAATCCAGCACCTGCCACAGTGCCCACTATGGGGCGTTCAAGAGGTTCCCATTTCCACTTGAAATATGCAAACAGCTAGAAACATGCCTGAAAAAGTCTAACTCCTTGAACAAATAAGCCTTATCCCTCTGGAAACAAAACGGTGTGTGTAATGTGTCATGACCTGCGTTAAATGTGTTTTATTGGCCAATTCATCGTAGTGGTTAAACATTTGCCTGAGGCTGTAAGAAGTCAAAGAAGCAGGCCCTGAGATGGGTAGGAAGAAAGGAGCCATGTTCATTCCCGAGTTCAGAAGACTAGCCATGGGGACACAGCGCGGCAGGTGGTGGGACGCGGGCCTGTGGCTGCCCTTAGACGTCTGTCCACGATGGGGAGCCAGGCCTTGCCTTCACTCTGAATGGGGCTCTTTCCCCAAGGAAAGAGTCAAAGCCGTGTGTGTGTGTGTGTGTGTGTGTGTGTGTGTGTGGTGTGCGCGCCCCTGGGTGCAGTCTCGGGAAGAATCGACTCATTCTCTGACGTCCATTTTATAGGGTGCTGTGTATGCCCGGGTAGCCTGCACCCTAGGCCAGGGCAGTGCTGTGTGACCATCTGACATGGCTGGAGGCCTGAGTGGGTGGGCTGACCTGGGCATGACCCTGCTTGGCAACGGGGTGGGCTCCAGTGGTCAAGGCTGGGCTGCTCCGCCTCTGGAGACGGATTAGGCGGTGGCCAGAGCCTTCCTGAGTTCCTTGCTCCTCTGGTGGTCGATGTCCTCCATTTCCCGTAGTTTCTGCAAGGGCCGCAGGGAAAGCTGGGCATCAGGGCAGGAGCTCCAGGCGCCAACACAGACGAGGCCAGAGCTGGACTCCGCCAGCCTCAGCCACAGCCGGCCCTTCCTTTCCACTCGGACCTCATACTTCTCACGGTGCCACGTCCCCGCCACCGCCTGCGGCTGCCCCTACCTGGGAGATCTCCGTGAGGATGAGCCCTCGGTACTGTCTGGCCCGGCCCAGGGCCTCCATCTCAGCCAGGAAGTCTTTCCTCTCCTGGATCTCCTTGACCACTGGACAGAGAGAAGGGTGGTCATCGCTCAGGGCGATGGGGGCCGTCAGGCTCCTGGGAGGGGTGCGGGGGGGCAGGCACTGCCTCTTGGGGGAGGAAGCAGTCCTGTGGTCAGACATTGTGTCTCGCTAGTTAGCCGTCAGGGGTCAACCCCTCCCGGTCCTGGGCCCCTCACCCCCCTCCCCGGCGCCAACTGGTCCATCTGGGCTCACGTTCTTCAAACCGGTCCGGCTCGGGGGGTGGGTCCTTCCGCTGCACAACACGGGGCTTCCTTTTCCGCTCCTCCTTATCCTTCCCCGTGGCAAAGATGTCTTGGAGTCTTCGCTTCTCCTTCTCCAGATCTCCTGTAAGGCCCAGAAAAGGCCTCGTTAAGGCACGGAGGGCACCCCGGTTCATGGCCGGTGTTCCCAACTGGGCATGCTCGCTCCAAGGTGCCCGGGGAACATGGAGGCGGCTTCTGCAATCCCGGCACCGTCTAGCCACGCGCTCCTGAGCCTGCCTTGTCAAGATAGGCAGGGAAAGGGATGGAAAGAACCAAGAAGAGAGCTTCGTCAGAACCCACACACGGCTTTGGTGCAGAGCAAGGCTAAGAAAACTCAGTGACCGCCGCATGGCGGCCTGTGTGCAGTGTAGCGGGGTCTGGGCCCAGAGTTCTGTGACGTGCCACGGAGGAAGGGGCTGAGGGCTCCCTGGAGCAGGCTGGGGTGCAGAGAGCTCTGGATTTGAGGCACCGTGTCAGCCTGAGAGAGCCATGGCCATGAGGTCTGACGGCCGGCCACTCATCAGAGATGGAGAGAATCCAGTTAATTGTTGAAGAGCATTCTGGAAAATTTTTGAAAAAGGACAACCTGTCTTCTGCTGCACCCTGAACGCTCCCTGGCTAACGTGCCAAGGCTCAAGAGCATTGGCGCCAACAGCGGGGGAATCTGAGTAGATTCGTGCTCACCTGCTCTGCTCATCTCCCCGCACCCTCCTGCCCCTCGTGGACGGGGGTACAGAGGGGCTCTGGTCCAGGCCCTCTCACTTACGGGTGGCTCGAGGCTTGAACTGCTCCCGGCTGTAGGCCCCATTGGCCTGGCACATGCTGGCAGGCCGGAGCTGGGACCGGGCCGCCAGGATGGGAGGCAGGCAGACGGCTGAGGCCGGCTGCTTGGCAGGCAAGACCCTCTGGCTGGATGTCGGGCTGCAGTACAGGGGCAGAGCTTCTCCTTCTGGGGAGGAAAAGGTTGGGGTGGGGGGTCCCCTGGATTTGTATCCATTTATAAATTGGCACCTTTTATAATGAGGCTAACAGTGCAGAAGAGTCTTTCCTCCTCCCTCCCAGCCCCCCTCTGCAATGGTAGCAATTTGGTGGTCTCGTCCGTTCTGTATGATACTATATAAACATGCTCATACAATGGACCACACTGTGCTACATTCCATAATAGACTCTTCACTTAACAGTGTATCATGGATCTCTTTCCAGATCACTCCATTTGCATGTAACTTATTTTTTAAAATATATTTTATTGATTTTTTACAGAGAGGAAGGGAAAAGGATAGAGAGCTAGAAACATCCATCAGCTGCCTCCTGCACACCCACCACTGGGGATGTGCCCGAAACCAAGGTACATGCCCTTGACTGGAATTGAACCTGGGACCCTTTAGTCCGCAGGCCAACACTCTATCCACTGAGCTAAACCCGTCAGGGCTATGTAATTTATTTTTTACAGCTGCATACTAGTTCTTGCGATGGCTACATCATATATTTAACTAGTCTCCGCATTTCAGAAATTCAGGCTGTTTTTATTTTATTTTTACTACTTCAAACAACACTGCCATAAACATTCTTGCACACCAAGCCTTCGTACTGGTGCTTTTATTTCGATAGATGGATTCCTAAAACCTGCTTGGTCCACAGGGAAGGAGGGATGGTTTGGATGGTAATAGACACAAATCTGTCTCACTGCCCCGGCCCAGACCTGGGGCTCCTCCGCTAGGCCGGCCCTGTTTGGTTCTGGGCCCTGTCTACCTAGTCCACCTTCTTCTATCATCCACCCGGCAAATACGTAATGAGCATCTACTCTGTGCCAGGCCCGACCAGTGGGGGTAAAGTGGTAAGAAAGGCAAAGTCCTGCCTTCGTGGCGCCTGCATCTGGGGTGTGGAATAAGGGAAAATAAAATACGTAGTATGTTAGGTGGTGGAGCGTGCAGTGTGTGACAGCAGGATTCACAATTTAAGTAGGGTGGCCAGGGACACTCTCATGAAGAGAAAAGACCCGACAGTGGTGAGGGAAGAGCATTGGAGGCAGGGGGAGCAGCGAGAGCAAAGGCCCTGAGGTGGGAATGTGCCTGGAATGTCTGAGGAACAGCCAGGAGGCGAGAGTGCCAGGAAAGCCATGAGCAAGGGGGATGTAGTGGGAGTAGAGGTCAGAGGTCATGGAAGACACGAGAAGGACAGGGCCCTGTAGGCCTCTGGAAAGACTGGCTCTTACTTTGTGTGAGGTTGGAAGCCATCGGAGGGTTCTGAGCAGAGGAATGACATGATCCTCTTGGTTGCTGCTGAAAATATAATAGTGTTGGGGGCCAAGGGCAGAGGCGGCCAGGATATGGGCTGAAGGTCAAGCGATGGGCTGGCTGATGGGTCAGATGTGGGGTCTGGAAGGACGGAGCTGCCAGTGTTTCGCATTGACCTTCCCTTCACACGGCGCTATGCATCTCTCTTCTAAAGTGATGCTGTGCTTCCTAGAATGTCCCCCTGCTCCCTCCACCCCCTATTTCTGCCTGTCCAGTGCCAGATGCTCCCTCTTCCTTTGGTCCATTCTCAGCAAATAATTATGGCCCGAGTAATTCTGGGCATTCAGGTAAAGGAGAGAAATTTGTGGCTTGCAACAGAATTTGAACCAAGGCTCAGAACGACAGTAGGATTTGGATAAGAGAAGAAAAGTAAAGAGAGTATAGAAGAAAGCAGATTCAACAGCAATGCTTGAAGGCAATTAAAAAAACCCCAAACCTCTAAGGGGAATAATGCTGCCAGGTGAGCCAGTTACTGGTGTTGTTCTAACCACTAATCCTTCAATAAATATTGAGCACCGAGGTGCTGGGGCTACCCTGGTGAACAAGGCAGACGTAATCCTTGGTCTTCTGGCATTGACTTTTAGTGGAATTCTAGGACAATCTCTGTAGTTGTGTGACAGGGGACACCATTGATTAGTATGCTGCTGACTGTGGAGACTCAGTTATGACTCAGATGTGCTATGGCACTCGGCTCTGGCAGCCTGAGTTGCCCTTGCCCACAATAAGGAAAGACATCTGACCCATGACCTGGCCTGATGGATCCTCCCTCCCTCCCCAGCCAGTGCTGAACAGACGATGCCTTTATCTGCCTCCCTGACTCTCCCTTCCCTTTGCTTCTGTGGTTAATCAGATGCCCTCCCGATACACACATTCTTTCTTTGGAGAAGGCGATAGCTTTCGATAGAATCAAGGAAAATTGTCAAGCTTACTCTGGCTCTCTCTCTCTCTCTCTCTCTCTTATTGATTTGAGAGAGAGAAAGGGAGAGAGAACCATCAATGGATGCCTCCTGACTGGGGATCGAACCTGCCACCTTTTGGTGTACCCGATGCCGTTCCAACCAAGTGAGCCACACCAGCCAGGGGTGGCATTCTGTCTCTTAAAGGCAACTTTCCAGGTCTCTGTTCTGATCCATTAAATGTTGATTCAGTTGAATCTCAGAAAGTGAGGTTGCTTACAAGATCTTAGTGCCCCCCCAAAATACTACAATTTGTGGTCAGAGGTGAGCCGTGCAAAGGCTTTGCATAGTCCTCCCAAGTTGGAATTCTGCCCATTTTCTTATTTCTGCTAGCTAAGCTATGAATGGATAAAACAAGACACATACATACACAGTTCTCTCCTCTGGGGAGCTCATATGGTATGTGTGTAACAGGGAGGAACAGATTGCAGACATGACAGTTTTGAGGCGATTTTGGCTGGGCAAGAAGTTCCAATTGCTCTGTGATCTCTTGGGGAGGTTGGCTAGAGCGGGACTGCAGGAAGCTGGTTGTGCCAGGACGCATGTCAGGAGGGAGTAACAAAGGCCCCTCAAGGTCAATTCCCCAGGGGCAAGATAAAAAATACTACGCTGTACTGTTTTGGTCTTTGAAAAGGATGCCCACTACTCCTTAAGACGGAGGAGCACTACAAAGGTGGCCCAGAACCCCTCTGTCCAGCAAGCCTCTGTGGACTGACCCTTACTTTTCATGGTGTCCATGATGTGTCGCTGTTGGAACTTAGTCAGTTTGGATTCCTTCATCATCACTGCAAGAGAAAGCACTTGAGTCAGGCCACCTGGGCTGCGGGCAGAAGCCTTCATCTCTCACCACTGAAATGCAAAATTGTCACCTTCTCCCACCATTCTGCACCCAAGCACTCCCTCGCTTACTCTTCTGCTTTATTTTTTCCTGTAGCACTCGTCACCATCTAAGCTCTATAGACTTTGTTACCCTCCCACTAAAATATTTGCTCCATGAGAGCAAAAATTGTTGCTGTTTTTTCTTCTTCTTTTTTTTAATGCTGTATCCTCACCACCTAGAACACAGCACATACTGGGCTTTTTAATGTTTTTCATTGAGTGAAGGAATGCATAAATGAATGAATGAGCAAGTATTCACTAAGCATGTGTCAGGCACTGGAGCTACAACAGGGAGCCAAAACAGGAACAACCGTACCCTGATGGAGTTCCCGGGCTAGAGGTGTAGGATACTGATCCAATGAGACACGCTGAATATCTGACTACAGGTTATGCTGAGTCCAATGAAGAAAAGGTATTTGGTAAGGTGAGGGCACATAACAGTTACTGTTGTTAGTGGGGGTGGGGGGAGGAGATAAGGCTTCCCTGGGAGGAAACAGAAAGTCCATCTAAGGAATGCACAAGAATGATCTACTCTGAAATCCTTTATTCTTTGACTTTTAGCCACTTGCAAGTAAGTTGTAGGACCTGAACCTTCCTGAACCCAAGGCTTCTCCTCTGTAAAATGAAAATAGCAATGACGAAGCCACAGGTCACGTGGGGGAGACCTGAGTTTCAGAGGATAACTGCTACCGCCGCTCTTACCCGGTCCTTTAAGCGTAGTACTAACCTCTGAGGAGCTCGCATGTTCCAAGGGTGTAAGTGGTCTGCTTGGGGCAGCGACAGAAGCCCGTTCCTTTGGTCACTGCCTTTACCCTATCCTGGGAAGCCATGGGAGGGCTCTGCGGAGGATAAAAGCGCAGTGGCACAGCCGTCTCCCAGGTCCAATCCCTACTCCAGCCCCCCCCCTCCCCGCCCCCAGCCCAACACCAGCAAAGTCTGGGAGCAGTCCAGTCCCATTAGAATTGTGACGCCGCCCTCCACTATTGCGACAGTGCCCTATTCTTCCACCCGAGCAGATACGCAGGCAGATGCACACACGTGAACAGAGACCTCATCTTGACCTGGTGTCTGTGGCAGGAAGGCCCTAGGAAGGGGGCTTCCGATAGCCGTGCTCACGACAGTGCCTTAGGTGTTACGCCCAAATTGAAACCTCACCCTAAAGTAAGACGCCGGTTGGGTGGGGCCCCTCGCAGACTTCAGCGGCGGCTGGGACCCACCCCGCCCCGAGCGGTGGCTGGGCTCCGAGAACCGAAGACCGTAATCACGGTTCTACCGTGGCACCGCGCGGAGGCCCAGCGGAAATACTCTGAGATCCTGGTGTACAGAGCGGGCTGCTAGACGCTCTGGCTACCATGGTAACGAGCGCGCCAGCGATTCGGCGCATGCGCGCACACCTACAGCCCAGGCCCGCCTTCTGGTAGTGATCGCTTCCGGGTTACCGCGCAGGCGCAGAGAACGCGTGGCGCCGAGCGAGGCGGAGGCGCGCGGTTTGTGGGTCTCCGCGCACGGGTGCGGGGCGCGGAGCCGGGTCGCTGCGGCGCGGGCGTCATGTCAGACAACGAGGACAAGTGAGTGCGGGAGCGAAGTGGCCTTTGCGGATCCTCGGAAGGGGCGGGTGAAGCGGGAACCTGGGTCGAGGGAGGCTGGGGAGCCAGGAGTCGAGGAGCAGAATCTGAGGGGACCTGGGCTGCTGAGGGGGCCCGCGGTGCTGGAGCCGCGAGGGCGGAGAGCATAGCCCGAGGTTGGGCACAGAAAGGCTCGGGCTCGAGGGTCCAGGGAGGATCAGTGCACAGGTGCCTTCAGCAGACTTCCGCCGAGCCGGGCGCTGTGCCTTGGTTTGGGACCGTTGCGGTGCATTAGGCATAGTCCCCGGTCTCCACGTGCTCCCTTTTCTAGAGAGGGGACGGCCCATGGACAGATGCGACAGCATCCTGTGAGCTGAGGCAGGGCCTCGAACAAAGTCGTTGTGTTTCAGCGTCGATGAGATGCTGTAGGAACGGCACTCCTGCCTGTATCAGCCGATGGATGGTAGCGTGGGTTTCCGCACGTTGTTCTGCTTCAAGTCGCAGGAGCCGTCCACGATGTTAAGTGAGGACCTGCTCTGCAGAAGCACCGCAGGGGTGAGGAAGGCCTGGCAGGGTGCCGTCGCCTGGCTGAGAGAAGGCGGTGGCTTGTACTAGGGCAATAGTAGTAGAGGTAGTAGAGGTCGTGAGCGGTGGCTTGAGTTCCGGATTTATTTTGAAGCGAGGGCCAGAATGATGATCTGATGTGTGTGTGGGGGGTCCAAGGAGAGGTCTGTTCTGAAGATGAAAATAGGGGCTTGGTCAGCATAAGCATATTATTCCAAACGAAGAAGCAGGTGAGGTCATCAGGGGAGTGTCCGTGGAGAAGAGGAGGTGCCTGCTGGACCCTGGGCCTGAGCCTTTCTGTGCCCACCCTCGGTTGATGCTTTTGGCTCCCGCCCTTCCTGCTCGCTGGGCCCCATGGGCAGTTAGAGCATCCCAGGAGAGGTGCTTGGGGGGCGGGGAAGAGGGGAAACCTGCCGAGGAGACTGGGAAGGAGCAGCCAGTGAGGCGGGGACACACCAAGAGAGTGAGGAGAGGGCATTGAGGGAGAGGGAGTGGCCTAGGGTGCCAACTGGGAGGCCAAGCTCAGTGAGAACATGAACAGTCCATTGGATTTAGCAACACAGACATCATTAACACGCTCGAAAGAAGCAGTGGTTTTGAGGGAGTTATGGAGGTGGGCATCTTCTTGGAGTGAGATTACGACAGAATAAGAAGAGAAGAATGGGAATCCGTGACGTTGGACAACTCTTCCATGAAGTTTGCTCCCAAGGGGAGCATGGAAATGGGCTCCATGGGGAGAGCATAGAGAAGTTTTGTCTGTTTTTTAAGGTGGGGCAGTAACTACCTGTTTACATGCTGATGGGAATGATCCAGTAGAGAGAGGAAAGAAACAGTGAGGATGCATGAGTCCTGGCACAATTTGCGGGGCTGATGGGAGTAGGTTTGAACACAAGTGTGATTCACTCATTAAGTAGATATTTATCGAGCACCCCCTCAGTGTTGGCTGAGACACCCCATGCCCTCTTTGATTCGATTAACTGATGCTCTAACTAACTGGTCTCTTCTTGTACAGTTTTGATGGCGACGACTTTGATGATGTGGAGGAGGATGAAGGACTAGATGACTTGGAGAATGCTGAGGAGGTCAGTAGTTAACCCTGGGCTCTCTCTTCTGCAGCCCAGGCTGCCAGATGGCCTGGCCAGTGATAATTCCCCGAATGGACCTGCCTCCTGTTTGTGCCCCTGCCACAAGCACCCCCAGTTAGAGTGAGCAGAGTTCCAGTCCTGGGTGGTGGAGAAGCTCTACAGGGTGGGTCCCAAGGCTTTTGTCCATTTGGATCACAGCCCATGGCTTCTGGGACAGTTAGTTCACTGTTAGGTGAAATGTTACCTTCATTCATTCAACAAAGGTGTTGAATGTTTATTATGCGCAAGGTGCTCTGCAGGGTGGGAGTTCACTGTTAGGTGAAATGTTACCTTCATTCATTCAGCAAAGGTGTTGAATGTTTATTATGCACCAGGTGCTCTGCAGGGTGAGGGTAGGTACATAGGAGCAAGGGGGAGGGTGACCTGGGATAAAGCTGGAAGAGAAGGTCCCAGATCAGGCAGATTTCATAGCCTAAAGGTAGCGGGAAGCCACTGAGGAGTTTCGAGCAAGGGAGTGGCATGATCCAGTTTGCCCTTTAGAAAGAGCATTCTGGCCTCAGAGTAAGGAGCGAATTGGGGAGAAACAAGAGTAAAAGAGAGAGACCAACTAGGGAGCTCTCATAGACCTCCGGGGAGAGGCCTGTAGCTTGGACTTGGGCACTGCTAGTGTCAGTGATGAGAAACAGATGAAAGATATTTTGGTGGATTGGCTATGGGCTGAGAAAGTCGGGGATGACAAGGATGACTCCTAGGTTTCTGGCTTGAGCAGCTAGGTGGATGGGTGACTGGCTTCGTGAATAAAATAGGGCTCTCCCTCTTGCGTGACTGATGCAGGAAGAGGTGCTTTATGTCTCCTGGACAGAGTGGTCCCTTGACTTTCTTAGGCTTGAAGCTGAAGCCCCTCTTTGAATTTTCTCTCCCAGGTACCTGTTCACTGTGTCAGACACCTCCTTCCCCACCCTTCCGGTCCCCTTCCATTCCTGTCCTGTCATCTTTGCCTCCTACCTGTGGGTTAGCTCTGGTCCCTTTCTACATACCTAGGGCTCAGCCTGGTTTAGATCTTTATTGTTTTTCACCATCATTACTGCAGAAATTGTGTTCCTGGTTTTCCTGCCTTCGGTCTGCCCTGATTGCCTTTCTGCTGCCAGTCATCTTTCTTACCTGCCCACGTGATTGATTTCTGTTGGTCTTCCTTAAAATGGTCTCTTTGCTTCTGCCCTTGCCCCTCAGAATATTCTCAACAGAGTACCCAGAGTGGTCATTTTAAATGTTAAGTCAGATTGTGTCTCTCTTCTGCTTAGAACCCTCATCCAGTGGTTTCCCATTCCATTCACAGTAAATGCCAAAAAGATGTCCAAGGTTCTCCATGACCTGGCCACTCGCTCCCTCTGTGACCTTATCTCTTCTTGCTGTCCCTGTCATGCCAGGCAGGTTCCTGGTTAGGACCTTTGATCATGCTGTTCCCTCTTCCAGGAACACTTTTCCCTAAGATATCCCCATGACCTGCTTCTCGCCTCCTTCAGGTCTGTCCAGGTCATCTCACTGAGGCCTCTGTGACCATCCTATTGAACTTGCAGCATCCTCCCCTTCCTTCCACATCACTGCCCTGGCACTTCCTGTCTTTTTTCTCTGTTGTCATACTGTACACTTTACTTATTAATTTTATTATCTCTTCTCATTATAATATAAGCTCCATAGGGGAAGATTTTTTTTTTTTTTTTAATCATAACACATTTTATTTTGTAGAAACACCTGTCAGTAAATTTCTGGTCAAATACTTTCATCAATGTTTTCATTTATGACATTTTATTTGAGAAATTTCAGTATGGATTTAACCAGACATATAAATCATGCGAGGCGAAATGATTCTCTCTTCCATTTTGTGCCACATCAGGAGCTGGCGTTTGTGTTTACTCTGTCGCCGATAGCTTCACATCTTTGAGCAGATAACTTTCTGTCCCTGTTATGTCTGGAAAATGGGCCATTTGAGCTAAAGGATATCCAGGTCCTTTGACTGTTAAATTGTCTACACAGTCTCCATGTGGTCTCTACTTTCAGTCTAGGGCATCAGGGTTCTCTCCAGTGAGTCTTCTGTAGATTATTCGGGAAGTTTTTCTGTATTTTAGTGTATTTCCAGTTTGTTCCTGGGAGCATGTCCGTGCAGCATCCACTCACTCTGCTGCCATTTTTAATCTCTATGCAGGGGAACAATTTTTATGTCTTCCTGCTCTGTCCCGAGAACTTAGAACACTACCTGATATGTAGTAAACACTCAGTAAATATTTGTTGACTTAATTCTTTATTATAGAATTTATTCTGCCTACGACCCTATGTGCACCTTTGCTCTAATCATACTCCACAATTAGTTGTCTAAACCTAGTGCATTCTCTCCCTCCTCTGTGCTTTGGACATGCAGTTCAACGTGTCTCCATGTCCTTCCCGTCCGTTGGCTTGGGAACTCCAATGAATTCTTCTACACTAGTCCCAGTCTCATCTCTGGACTGTCTTCCTAACCCACGCATGAGTCAGATGACCCTCACCTTCTTGTTAACTTTGTTGCACACTTGCATACCTTCAAAGCACTGCTGTTCTGTTTACTCTTTCTCCTTCCCTGACTATGAATTCTTTAGCAGAAACTCTTAGCTTTCTGTCTCAGCACCTATTATGATGTCTGGCATGTGACAAATGCTTCATAAGTAATTGTTATATATATATGTGTGTGTGTGTGTGTGTATGGAAAAATGTTTGCTAGTTTCTGCCTTCACTGACTTTTTAGCTCCTTGACCCATTCACTCAGTTATCCTGCCTGAAGATGGGATGCTTGCTCCTCGCTTCCTGCTTAGGGTGATTTGTCGTCTGTGCTCAGGCTTCTTTGTATGGGGCCACGGTTCTGGGACAACCCCATCTCTGGACCCTCCGCTTCTCTCTTCTGGACGAGGCAGCTGCAGCTGGCTTGGAATCCTGATCATGATTCTTCTCTCTTACTAGGTCTGAGACTTTGGCCAGTTCGCTGACTCTCCAAGCCTCTAAAATGGCACTGTAATCCCTACCTCATGAGGTTGTTGTAGGATTAAATGAGGTGTCAGTAAGGCAGCTGCACGGTTGCTGGGGAGTGACAAGCAGTGGTGGTGGTGGTGGCTATCATCGTTGGCATCGTCATCCCCCCTCACTCAGTAAGGCGCCCTGAGACTTTCCCTCTTTCTGCCTTGGTGTCCAGGAGGGCCAGGAGAACGTTGAGATCCTCCCCTCTGGAGAGCGACCGCAGGCCAACCAGAAGCGGATCACCACACCATATATGACCAAGTATGAGCGAGCCCGCGTGCTGGGCACCCGAGCCCTCCAGATCGCGTGAGTGTGTGCCCCTTTCCTGTCTTTTCCATCCGTCAGGCCACAGTGAGCTCCGAGCTGTTGATGTGGCCCAGCCTGGCACCTAGAAACAGACTCTCCCTGCTTCCACATGCTGAAAGTGTGGGTTTAGAGAGCCCTAGACCACTGTGGGCCGTTAGTGGGGGGGCTGTGGCACCCCCATTGGGCTTATGGTGGTTCTTGTCCATGGCCAGCCCGGAGGAGTAGGCAAGCCCTCCATGTAGAGGCCATGCTAGAGGTGTGAAAACAGAACAGTGATGGGGTTCTGGGGATTTGAAATTAGCAGACTTGCCTTTATCTTCCAAGTCTGAAACCAGTTGAAGAATAACAAGGTTCAGGAGATAGCACTGGGTAGGCGGAGATGAAAATGTCTGAGGAGTGCCTGCTCCGACAGTGCAGGCCTCGCGGCTGTCTGCAGGGGCAAGCCTGCCTTCGAAGGTTGCCAGGCCCCCTCTCTGCAGGCAGGTGGCTTTCAGAGAGCAGGGACTCCCCCAAAAGCTAGGCCACAGATGCCTGTTTTCCCCCCCTCGGTTCCCTGACAGATGAGTCACTCCTCCTTCCTGGGGAGGAGTAAGTCGGGGGACAGAGAGGGCAGGTTGGGACTGTTGCTCTCATGAAGGTCTCCTAAAGGAGCCCTCCCCAGACTTCTTACGAGCCTGTGTGCAAGTATTTCTGGCAGTTGGGCTGCTTCAAGTAGGGAGTATTGGACACTAGGGCAGAAAGGAAGCTGGGGCCAGCGTGTGGAGGTCGGCGTGCTGGAGGAGCACGTGTCCCCTTCCTAGTTTTCAGTTAACTTGGGACTTGATCTCCTCCAGTGGTGAAGATGGCCACCGTGTCCACCTCGATAAAGGGCTTTATGGTCGGGCAACATTGCTCCTCATCCGCTCCGCAGCAGACCTCTTGCTGGCCTGGTTGCACTCTTTGCTGGTCTGGGAGAAATTAGAGCCGCGATCCATATGGTCATTTTGGGATCTTTGGGTCCATATCCTCTCCAGTGGTTCTCAACCTTCCTAATGCCGCGACCCTTTAATACAGTTCCTCATGTTGTGGTGACCCCCAACCATAAAATTATTTTCGTTGCTACTTCATAACTAATTTTGCTACTGTTATGAATCGTAATGTAAATATCTGATATGCCGGATGTATTTTCATTGTTCTCGACCCACAGGTTGAGAACCGCTCGGCCATCATCAATTATGGCAGCTGCTATCTACATGTGGCTATTTAATTTTAAATAAAGTAAAATGAAAAGTTCAGCGTTTGGTTTCACCAGCCACATTTTCTATATTCAGTAGTCACCTGTGGCTGTGGTTTCCATAATGGATAGTGCAGATAAAAGACATTTCCATTGTTGCAAAGCAATTTATTGCTGCTCTAGTGCTCATCTCTGCTAAAAATGACCCGGCAGGAAGAATAATGCATAAATTATTTTTTCAAGTAAGTTAAGTCTTTCAAACACTGAATAAGATACTGTGCTTGTACCTGTTGGGGGGTGAAGATAATTAGACACAGTCCTCCTGTCTTCCGGGTGTTTATAGCCCGGGGGGAGGTGGACCCCGTCACAAATACCCAGAACCCAAGGCAGGCAGGTGTGGAGCTTTGTAAGAGGCACAAAAGGGGAGGAGAGAGTGAACTGCAGAGGAGGTGAGAGTTCAGGGGGGACAGGAAAGGGCGGTGTCCCCGGGAGCAGAAACAGCATGAGGCAAGGTCCACGTGAGGCAGGCAAGTTTGGCTTGTGGTGGGGAATGGCCAGTGGCTTGGGACACAAGACTGGAAAAGATGTCATGGAGCCTTGAGCAGAAGATGGGTGTGCGGTTGGTGGGCCGTGGGCAGCACTAAAAAGTGTGCAGACAGACATTCAGAGCATGCTGAGTCCCAGGACCTGCTTTTCTTCGGAACAAGGCGTGGTCCCATGTGGCTGGGTCTGTAGTGCTCCTTCCAGTGGAGGGGTAGGCCGCTGTCCGGCGGTTCCCGCCTGCTGTGAGTGGTGGGGGAATGGCCAGTGGCTTGGGACACAAGACTGGAAAAGATGTCACGGAGCCTTGAGCAGAAGATGGGTGTGCGGTTGGTGGGCCGTGGCAGCACTAAAAAGTGTGGAGACAGACATTCAGAGCATGCTGAGTCCCAGGACCTGCTTTTCTTCAGAACAAGGCATGGTCCCATGTGGCTGGGTCTGTAGTGCTCCTTCCGATGGAGGGGTAGGCCGCTGTCCGGCGGTTCCCTCCTGCTGTGAGTGGTAGACAGCAGGGCTGTAGCTTATCCCTAGCACCAGGCATGTGGCCCTGCGGTGAGGTGCTGAACGAACATTTCTCGGATAGTTTTTAGATGAAGTCGCACTCCTTTCCTTAGCACCACCTAGTGGCAACGTGAACTACAGCCACTTCCTAAGAATCATTACTGTGTTCTTTTATGGTGTCTCTGGTGCAGACAAATTACCTAAGGACACACTCTCACACTTAGCACATTGCATGCACACAGCAGGGCTGGATGAATGAATGCTCTTTAATTATTCATATCTGGAAATAAAGAAGGCATATGCCACATTCTGTAAAGCTTTAACACTTATTGAGAGAGGATATAGGGCAAGTTAAACATTTGGTCTCTGCCCTTGGGAAGTTTTCAGGCTTTTGGGAGTAATAAAGTATTTAGTAATAAAATTAGTAAATTATCTGGTGTAAACTGGTGGCTCTCGCACTGGCTGGTTACCAGAGTCAGCAGGGAGCTTTGTAAAATGCAGGTTCTCAGGCCCCCTCACTAGAGAGTCTATTCCGAGGGTCTGGAAAAGGGTCCTGGGACCCTGACTTTAGTGTACTCTCCTGGTAACTCTGATGATCAGGTTTCGGATCTATTAGGGTAAACCTGAGCTAGAATCATTAGGTGGCTTCCTGGAGGAGGTGGGCCAGGAACTGGCACCCCACCCAGTTGTGCTGTGGGTCAGGCATTGTGCCAGGGTGTGTCCTGGGCCACAGGTGCTCATCATGATCTAATGTGGAAAACTTCAAACAAGGAGTCAGAGTCCAGGGGGTTTGGTGCCAAGAGAAGCCTGTGTAAATGAGCCGGGCACTGAGGATCCAGCTCATGATCCCCAGAGTGGAGGCGTTTGAGTCTCTCCCAGGCCTATAGGGAGAGGAAGAGCGGTCAGAGGACACAGAGGTCAGTGTCTGTCAGGAGCCTCAGGAGTTTGGTGTGGTGGGAACATGGGGTGAACATAGGCAGGTAGCATGAGACGTGCTAGAAAGGTGAGCAGGAGGCTGGAAGAGCAGGACTTCTGAGGGGTGTTGCCAAGATAGAGAAGGAAAATGGGAGCTGGGCCCTGAGGCAGGGCCTGGGGGGGGGCGGGGGTTAGGGCCATCCGAAGGGGAGCCTTTGCTCATGCCATTTCTCGGTGCCGGGAACTCTGCCAGAGGCCCTGGGGAAGATCCTGAGAGAGGCCTTGTGGGTAAAGCTTACTCTCGTCCCATTCACAATACCCTTGTCTTTAAGTTTGTGGATCTTCAGCTTATAAATGGGAGGTGTTACAGCCCAGTGGATGGGAGCATGTGGGGTTCACATCTTGGTTCTGCCACTTTCTGACCTCTCTGTGCCTGTTTCCTCATCAGTAAAATAGACTACTCACCTCAAACAACATAGTCTGTGCGGAGAACTGAGAGCAGGTGTGACACTCAGTGCGTCGCTGCCTGTTGGCCAGTAGTGTCCCAGCATCATTGTAGGCGAGGCAGGGCTTTTTGTCTTCATTTTCACATGAGGATACTGAAGTTTAGAGAGAAATTCAGTGTCTTTGGAGGCAAAATTTAAACCCGGTCTACTGGCTCCCACTCGCATACTCTCCCTGTTAGTGCCCCTGAACCACTGCTCCCCCCCTGCCATGCCTGTCGGCCTAGAGGGTGACCTTTCTTAGAAAAAAGGGAGGTGACCTTTCTAAGTGAGGACAGGGGTGCCCATCCAATCCTGTTTGTGAAGTAAGCCCCACCCCGACTCCCAATTTCCTGTTGGACCTTTCTCCCTGCGTTGGCCGTCTCCCCAACACCTGTCCCTGTGCCCACAGGATGTGTGCCCCCGTGATGGTGGAGCTGGAGGGGGAGACAGATCCCCTGCTTATCGCCATGAAAGAGCTCAAGTAAGTTGCCCAGATCACGGTTTGCTGCTCCAGAGCCCGGGCAGGCATCCTCGATTCTCTGCTGCACCTGACCCCACCTCCCTGCCTGGGGAAGCGGTGATGGTTCCTGTGGATCTCAGCTTGTTCAGGAGTCAGCGCACCAGGAAGGAGGAGGGAGAGGGAGGAGGGGCAGGCACAGGGGAGGCCACTGAGGAGACAGCACCTCTCCTGGCCGTCAGAGTTCCCTGTTCCTGCTGCAGCCTGCCTTCCCAGCCCCCATCTTCCTCCTCCTCCTTCAGACGTGGGATGGCTGAGCCCTCAGCCTGCCTTCCCAGCCCCCATCTTCCTCCTCCTCCTCCTCCAGACGTGGGATGGCAGAGCCCCTCCAGACCACTGTCCCACGCTCGGGGATGCAGGAACTTTCCTTTTATTGCAGTTCTTTTCCTACAAAGTCCACTCAGCCCCAGGAAGAGGCTCCCTGACTTCTCTTTCCTCGCATTCTGCAGACAGTCTGCCCCTCCTGCTGCAGAGCTGGGGTCTCCAGCCCTCATGTGCATGTGCCTTCTCCCCGCCACAGGGCCCGAAAGATCCCCATCATCATTCGGCGCTACCTGCCTGACGGGAGCTATGAAGACTGGGGGGTAGACGAGCTCATCATCACGGACTGAGCTGGAGTCATCTTCCCAGCTGCGCCTCACCCCAGCTCCTGTTCCCACATCCTTTACACGTGTAAATAATAAACTCTCCAACCTTCCCACACCTGCCTCCGGCTATCTGCTGTGCCCACCAGCTTCTGCCCCGCTGTTTAGAGGCTGCACCCGTCCCAGTGGCCCCGTGAAGGTCAGCTCTTTAAGAAGCACCAGGGGCCTTTACCCCTGTGGCTACCCCGCATCCCTCCCTCCATCTCCCCTTCACCAGAGCAAAGGCTGCTGCAGGGAGACACCTCAGCTGCCTTCCCAGCAGACAGACCAGCCTTTGTGCCCAGGGAGCTGGTTGCCATGGAAACTCCCAATTTCCTTTCCAGTGGGGACTGGCTGCAGGGGCTTCTCCCTTCTCAGGAGTATCACAGAGCAGGTCTCATCAAGCCACCCATTGTTTCCTAAGGACCTGCCTCGAGCCTCTTATCATGGGCTCGGATCCCCTTTCAGGAGCAGTGCCCCAGCAGGAAGCTTGGGGACGCAGTGATCTCCGCCCTCCCCAGGCAGAGCCCTGCTGGGCAAGTCAGCTGGAGCAAGGACCCAGCACCTGCCCCCCTTGTCCCCACTCCTCAGGCCACTGCCCACACGGTGTCCTCCATGGCCCGCCTCCCTGGTCTGCCACACCCATACCCTCTCCTTCCCAGCCTCTGGAAGATGTCCTTCCTGTTCTGTGTGGGCCCGTGACCCTCTGAGGCCTTGACTGGGGTGGGTTCTGGGATCATAGTGGCCAGGGAAGCAGGACTCCTGGGCTCAAGGCGTGGCTTTAAATCAGGACTGGAGCGCACCCTCTGTCCTAGGTTCTAATGGGTCCTATTCTCTTCACCTTGCTTACCCGACATGCGGTAAGACCAACCACATTGGATCTTCCCTCCCTGGGGGGCGGGGGACAGGGAGAGGGTTTATATTGACCGCAACAGAGATAGAAGGGAAAATTGGCTCCCTGAATAGAATATACCAGCCTTAACCTCCCTTCTACTCTCAGCTCCCCTTCCCGGAAGAGGAGGAGCGGGCATGGCCCCGGGGTGGGTGCACCCTGGCTGGACAGGGTGGGAGTGATGAGCGGTCAGTTCCAGGAGGGGTGTTTGCTGCCTTGGAAGAGGGTTAATTCAGGGAGCAGGGGACTTTGCACCCCCTTCCACCCTCCTCCAAGCCTGTGGAATCCTTTAATCAAGTTGGGTGCTGAAATTTCAGCTCTGAAATGCCGCCTTTGTGCTGGCATCCAGGCGGCCGCCCTAGAGTGCGGGGGTCACTTTCTCGGCCCCGTTTCTCTAAATGGTCTCTTTGTTCCTGCTGGGCCGCTCAGTATCAGATGTGATTAAAGGGAGATGGGGTTTGGGTGGGGGAGGAGAGAAGGGAGTGGGGGGTTAACCCTTAGGGAATAGGGTGTAGGAGAGATGGAGAAGGGGGTGTTTTCCCTCCCACCTCCCCCTTTCCACTCTGCTCCTCTTTCAGGGAGTCAGTCCCTGGCTACTCAGCTGGCCAGGGCTGGGCATAATCTCTTCACCTGGCTCCTTCTCTCTTTCCATGTGGTCACTCCCTGACTGAGGCCCCAGCACATCCGGAACCTTGAGTCTAAGGGATGAAACAAGCCAGGTCTTCCGACTTCTCTGGGATCATTTGTCCATTTTCCCTCTTCCCGAGTCCCCAGTGACTTCCCAGTCGATCGCATGAGATGCAGAGTCCTGCCGAGAGCAGGAGCAGTGAACAGACTGGAAATGGCCTAATACCCTGTTTTCCAATAGAGGTGAAAGGGCGGGTTGTAAAAATTACGAGCATGTAAGGTTAGCACCGATTGATCCCGGACACATATCTAGAATCGGCTACTGTATATTGGAAAACACTTAGGCCATGAAGAGATCCCGGGGCTAGCATAGGGTTTCTCAGAATATTACCCAATGTTTTCAGTGGTGGCTGGTCTGGAAGGTCGGAGGCTACAGCAAATCTTGGTTATAGCAAGGCATCAGGCGGTCTGTACTGTGATGAAGTGTGGGCTTCGTGGTGATAATAGATTCAGAATCGATTGCCAGTCTTTCCTTAAGAGTATAGTGACAGAACTAATGAAGGATTTAGTGGATTCACAGGGCCTGCTTCTCTTCATTTCAACCTTTTTTATTAGTGACTTGAATAGGATATTCAGGTTTGCAGATACAGAAGGAGAGCTAGTAAGTTGTATTCAGGATTCCAAAAGGTTTAATGTAGGTGGGAAATGGTCAATTCCAACAAGATGAAATCTGTTAAAGATCAGTATAAAATCCTGCTTTTATCTACAACAACAAAACACCGGGAGACATCTTACATACAGTTTGGGGCGGTCTGACTTGGCAGCAGATCCTGTTCATGAGAACAGGGGTTCGCAGCTACCACTAAGCTTCACGGAGCCAGCAGTTTTGGTGAGGTTGCCTAAGAGCTCACATGATGCAGTTTCCCGATGGGAGTCTGGCCACCCTGGAGGACTGGGCTAGGTCTTGGCACGCTCTACCCCACCCCTCCCCAACCCTCCCCACCCCAGGTCCTGACTAGGAGGTGAGAGGTGGATAAGGGAGCTGAGGTGGCCGGTCTGGAGCAGTGGAAAAAGCATCACTTCAGATTAAAAGTGGAAGTAGGGCCTGTAGATGCTGGGCAGATGGAAGAGATGACGGTTAAGAGCTCAATGAGGGAGTCAGAGCATCAGCACTACTTAGCATGAACCTCAAAGCTTCAGTTTGCCCATCTGGAAAATGGGGACAAAGACTGGATCTCCTCCCTCATAGGCTTGAATGACATAAAGCACTTGGCCAGGGAGCACTCCGATAGTGGTAGCTATTACCGTTATTAGCTGGGTATAAGGAAGACTTCCAGCCATTGGAGCCAGCCATCAGTGGAGCATGTGGTGAAAAGATTTCCCCTGCTCCTGAGGTGGAGTGGCTCCTGTCCCCAGCACAGCTTGGAATTCAGCTGAGGAAAGAGCTCCGAGGGAAGAAGCACTGAAGGGTTAGATTGTACATCTGCCATCCTGGGTTTACACTCAGACACAGGCAGCTGCCGTGAAGATTGGCTAGATCCTGGATTGGGCCAGTGTGTGTTTATGTGTGTGTGTATGTGGTTGTGTGTGTGTGTGTGTATGCGGGTGTGTGTGTGTGTATGCGGGTGTGTGTGTGTGTGTGTGCAGAGAGAGAAGGCCCAGCATCACATCCTAAAGGACTGGGCAGCCAGACACCAGGAAGTCAGGCCTGACCCACCTCTCAAGTACCTGTCTCTTGAATTCTATGCAAGCTCCCTCTCCTCTGCTGGGCAAGCAGAGGGGCTGCTGGGAGGGCGCTTGGGCTGAGTTCCAGCTTGAGCCAGGGAGGGGCCCATCTGTAGGGTGGGCACAGCTGGCCTGGGGGAAGAGCTCCCATCTGAGGCCCCAGCCCCTGAGCACACTGACCCACTGCGAGGCCCCCTCTTCCTAGGTAGAGAGGAGACCTTTGGGTTAGCTGTCCTTTGCGTTCCACCCCTAGCTACTTCCAGGAAGTGTGAGGAAGCACAGGTGCAGGGAGAAGAGACCAAGAGACAGGCCAGGTCAGGCCCACCAAGCAGGTAGCTGGAACCTTTAATTTTATTACGGGGAATACTTAATGCAGAGTTAATAGGAGCTGGAGAACCTAGGAGCGGGGGGAGGGGAGAGGGAGCTACTGAGATAAATAAGAGGGGGTAGTAATGAGTTACATGTGGATTGTGGGGGCTGCAGAACAGGAACATAGGGGCAGACAGAGCTACATACTTTATTCAGATACCACTGGGAAGCAAGGGCAAAAGGCCAGGGCAGAATGTACATGGCAGGAGTTTAGTGTCTTCAGCTGCTGCTAGCAACCTGGTGCTGGGCCCCTTGTCCTCCTGGAGCCAAGGGTTTGGGCACGAGCAGCATAGCTCTCAGGGAGCCCAGGAGTGGGGCCGAGAGCAGGGGCCACAGAGCCTAGTGAGGGGAGAGGGAGCTGGCGGAGAGCCAGGAGGAAGGCTCTGTGAATTGTCTCCAATCCTTTCCTCACTTCCGGGATGTGCCTCAAGGTCTGGGAGGCTGTAGTGGAGGAGGCCCTGGGGCCCTCTTTCCGATTAGATGAAAAATCAGGCTGTTGGCATAGAACTGGATCTGGGGTCTCTAAGTTGATTCCTTTCTGTGTTCAGGAGGGAAGGGGGCACTGGGGGGATACCTCCCACTGAGCCCCCACCCACCTCCACACTCTCAGAGGCTATTCAGAGCTGTCCCCAGCCCCCAAGGGGCAGACATAGCCCACTCCAGGCACGGATGCAGGGGTGGCCTTGACCTTAGGCACATGGCACAGGTGGCATGGGTTATGTCAGGCCCCTCGTTCTCCACGCAAGAGGAAACAGTCACAGGAATGGCAAGGCCTCTGATTCCCATCCGACCCTGGGTGCTTCCCCCTCCCAGAGGGTGAACCGGTCCTTCTCAGGTCCTGGGATGGAGGGTCATCCTGGGGGGAAGGTGCAGCCCCTCATGGTCCAGTCTAGGGGCAAAAACCAACCTCCTCCTCCTCTGCCCAGCCTAGAAGTCTAGGGCTTTGCCTGGGCTGAGCCTGGACAGGATGGGGTGGGGTCATCAAAGGCAGTGAGCTCGACAGAAAGCCTCCCCTCAGCTGTCAGCCTCTGCCGCCTCCTCCCCAGCCACCACCAGGACAAAGATGGGCCAGGAACTGGGTGCGAGGGCTTGGGAAGGGCATACTAGCCAGGGGCTGGGGGGATGTGACAGGGCCCCTTTAAGGTCGGGACAGCGTCGTATATACTGGCTGCTCCCAGTGTGTGGGGCTGTGGGATTGGGGCCCTGAGGGGCTGGGATCAGAGATGGCCGTGTAGAGGGGCCGCTGTGAGGGCCCCATGTAGGAGAAGGCCGAGTAGAGGCCGGAGGCCTGGCCTGAATGGCCGTAGTAGGGTCCTGAGGGCTGATGGTCAGAGTAGTCAAACTGGGGGCGGGAGATGGAGGGGAAGGCGGAGCCGTAGTGGGGCAGGCTGAGGGAGGTGTAGGCGATCTGCGAGGTGGACGGCTGGTCGCTGTAGTGAGGGGGCCCCTGGGGCCCTGCGGTCTCCGTCTTCACCTGGGCTTTGGTATCCACACCAGGTGGCGAGACCGTGGGCAGAGCCACGCCTGGCGGCTTGGAGATCCAGGCGGAGTGTCCACTGGCCACAGCCAGGGCGCTGCCCAGCCCATAGCCAGCTGCTGAGTAGCTGCCCACGTGGCCCGGGTGCCCGTTGGGTGGCAGATACTGGTCCAACTCAGCCACATCGAAGGTTTCCATGTTGGACATTACCTCGTGGCTGATCTCCCCGATGTCTACGTTGCCGAAGTCGATGTGAGGCTTTCCGCCCTCCCCCATGGAGCGCCCGTCCCGCTTGGGGTCTGCCTTCCCCGACTGCAGCTCTGTCTTTGGGGTGGTCGGAGGGGTGGGAGGGCCATGGCTCTGGCCTGAGTGGGAGGAAGACAGAGAAGCAGGAAACCAGGTCAGAGGCTTCCAGATGCTGGTAGTTCACCCTCAGAGAAGGGGTCTCCAGGACCTGAGGGCTGACCCTGCGTGCCTTGTACGTCTTACAGGCCTGGGCAGTCTGGGTTGGCGCTGATTTATGTCACGGTCTTGGGTTGCTCTCTAGTGGTTCCTGAAGTCCCCCAGCCTTACGGGTGGGTCCTGCCTCCCTGCCTCCCTCCTGGAAAGGCTGCCTCCTTTTGAAAGACCTTTCCCGTTGGAAAGTTTCCTCCCATCAGCTGAGGTGGCTGCCTTCCTGGCCCTTGGCTCCTTAGCTGCTGAGCCCAGTGGGGCCCTGCCCTCCATTCAGCCGCCTGCCGGCTGCTGTCCTCGCTGACCTCCTCCGCCGCCTCACTCCTGACTCCCTTTCACGTTTGCTGGCTTCCCTGGGCCTCCTCCCGAGACAGCAGTGCTCCCTCTAACCCCTTCCTCCAGGAAACCTTCCCGCTGAGCCAGTCCCCCTGGCAATGTCTCCAGACTTGCTCCACCCTGTTCCTTTGTCCATGTCACATTCACATGTCCATTCGGCAAACACTTAGGGGGCACTGTGCCAGGAAGAGGGGACACAAGCATCAGTAAAATGGGTCGCTGTCTTCACAAGCTCAGAGGCTTGGGGAGATCCCGAGACCCACACGTGGCAGCTGCAGAAGTGCCGTGCTGACGGGCACGCAGGGGCTCGGGCCAGCGGAAGCCACTCACCCTGCCCTGGGGATCTGGCGAAGGCCTCACTGAGGGGAAGGAGCTGAGCTGGGCCTTGAAGGCTGAGGAAAAGCCCAAGCCCACAGTTACATTCTGAGGTGGTGGTTCTCACGGCCCAGGGTCTTCTTTCTGGGTGTGTGTGTGTGTGTGTGTGTGTGTGTGATGTACGTGTGTGGGTGGATGACTGGACGGGAGATCCTAGCACAGAGAGATCAGAGCTCCTGCAGGCCAGGCCTGTGCCCCGTCCAGCAGACCAGAGGGAGGGCTGGGTCACTTGCCACGTGACCCTGGGCAGACCCCTGTCTTCTCCTAACCAGTTTCCTTATCAGTAAAGCCCGGCCTCCATCCTGAAGCCTTCCTGGCCCGGAGTCTGGCGGGGCTGGGTGCTTCTGGAGACCCGACTGAATGGATGGTGGGTGGCCCCTCCCTAGAGATCATGCCCCGCTGCGTCTTGGGCGGCTTTGCATGCACTTGCTTCTTCCTATACCTAAGGCACGTATGTTCCTGCTCCTCCTACACCAGTGATGGCGAACCTTTTGAGCTCGGCGTGTCAGCATTTTGAAAAACCCTAACTTAACTCTGGTGCCGTGTCACATATAGAAATTTTTTGATATTTGCAACCATAGTAAAACAAAGACTTATATTTTTGATATTTATTTTATATATTTAAATGCCATTTCACAAAGAAAAATCAACCAAAAAAATGAGTTCACGTGTCACCTCTGACATGCGTGTCATAGGTTCGCCATCACTGTCCTACACCCTGGTTCCTGAGTGTCTGCTCCCGGGCCTGGATCAAAAGGGGACTCGGGGCATAGCTTCTAAGAGCAGAGCTCTGACTTCCTGTGCGCCCGGCCCACGCACGGCGCTCTATACATGGTAAGCCCAAGCGAGGCAGCCGTGGTGCCGGCAGAGGCCCGGGAGCCAGAGGGCCTGGGCTCAGACCTCAGCCGGTGGCCCATCACCTCAGTTTTCTCACCTTCCAGTGAGTGTAATGAGCCTCAGCTGAGGTCTGAGCCTCCCCGTTTAGAATGACCGAATGAGCGGACACACAAGGCAGCTGGCACAGTGCCGGGCATGCCGTAGGTGCTCAGTTAACGTTAGTGTTATCGTTAATGAGAACCAAACAAGATGGCCTGACTGGCCCTTGCATGGCACGCGCTCAGCGTCACAGGCCCTGTTGTCTGTCTCCCCATCAGACCGGGAGGTGGGAGAGGCAACGCTCTCTTTTCTATCTGCTCTCCCGTTTCTCAAACCATCTGGTCCCGCCTTTTCTTGTTGTAGCTCACCCCAGGGCCCCCTTCACTGGCCCTTCCCTCAGCAGCAGTGCCCCCTCCATCCGCCAGAGCCATCTTACCCACTGCCTTCCCTGGCACCTGGGTCCCTGCACCCCAGCCGGAGTGACCACACAGCCTGGCAAGCCCTGCCCAGGGCACAGGGCTGTCGTGGAGTGCCAGGGTCTCACGCCACCCATCCAGCCTTCACCTCTCCCCACACCAGCTCCCCCACCCACAGCTCAGCATCACACCCCACCCTAGCCCCCAGCCCAGTGTTCACCTGAGGGGTGCTCAGGGTTCCCGTCCGACATCGGAGAGCCCTCTCCCGGGTGCCGGTGGTCCAGGTGGGCGCTCTTGTAGTGGGCCTGGATGGCCGCGGCCCCGCCCTGCTCGGCCTCCCCGCCAGGGCACTCTGACTCCCCCTGGGCCGCCTTCCCGTTCTTCCGTCTCCTCGGCTGGTACTTGTAGTCCGGGTGGTCCTTCTTGTGCTGCATCCGGAGCCGCTCGGCCTCCTCGATGAAGGGGCGCTTGTCACTCTCATTCAGCAGCCTGGGGTGGGCCGTGGGGAGACAGCAGAGGGGCCACTGTGAGTGTCTTCCCTGGAAGAACTGAGGCCCGAGGATGGGCGCCCCACGTGGGAGCTTGCCCTTGATTTACAGACTGGAAGATGTGAGGCCCACGGAACCCCAGGCTCAGAGGGCGGTGACCTCACCCCCAAATCTCTCAAGAGGTTGGGGTATAAGAGCGGTCAGCCTGCTGCTCCTAGTAGCTCTTGGGACGGAGGGGCAGACATCAGTTCAAGGAGAGGAAGGACTTTCTCCCATCAAAGCTGTCTAGCCTGGCTGGTGTGGCTCAGTGGTTGAGCATCGACCTATGAACCAGGAGGTCATGGTTCGATTCCCTGTCAGGGCACATGCGCGGGTTGCAGGCTCCATCCCCAGTGGGGAGCGTGCAGGAGGCAGCCGATCGATGATTCCCTCTCATCGTTGATGTTTCTATCTCTCTCTCCCTCTCCCTTCCTCTCTGAAATCAATAAAAATATATATATTTTTAAAAAGCTGTCCAAGTGGGGTTTGCTACTTCGTCAGGGGGAGCTCCCTGGGACTAGAGGTGCACAAGCCGAGAAGCAGCGTGTGAGGGGGAGGAGCCCGGCCTCTGCCACTTATTAGCTGTGAGACGTGGGCAGGTCACTGCCTGAGCCCTAGTCTCCTCACCAACAGAACCAGGTGACAGTGCCCACTTCACCAGGTGTGGGGCTGGCCAAGATCACGGACGCGAAGCGCTTGGCACCAGGCCTGGAGTGGGGGCTGGCGCTTGAGAAATAGGTGCTGCCCTGACGCTGCTTGCGGGAGGCTGGACAGGCCCTGGGGTGGGCCCGGCTCAGCTCTGGAACACTGACTCTGCTCATTGCAGTGGCTGGGGCGAGGGCAGGATGTGAGCCCTTCCCTGCCTCCTGGGGGAGACCCTGTCTCCTCAGCCAGGCTGACAGAGGGTAGAGGGAGCTAGCTGCTCTTCCCAGACCTGGGACAGGGGCAGACACCCTCTCCGCAGGCCGGCCGAGACCAACCAGTGGAGGCCCCGAAGGCACCGCCCCTGCCCAACTGACTTCAGCCTCAGGCTGGGGCTCTGGTGCCAGAGGGAGGAGGGCAGGATGGGGTACCCTGCAGAGGGTGCTGAGGGGAGTCCTAGACATAAGGTACTGCGGGAGCAGCTCTGTTCTCTGCCCAAAGGCGCTCTCTCAGCCCCCACCCCACCCCCAATGGGCGCCCTCTTCCCCTAGTCAGCAGAAGGCTGAGCCCTCCCACCCGTGATGGGAGGGGGTGGTCATACCAGGCGCCTCCAGCCGGCAGCAGCATTCCTCTGCAGCTTAGCCTCCCCTCTGTCCCCCTCCCCCACCCTTCCCCGCGAGGCCCTGAGCCCAGCCCTAGCCCCGCTTGCTCCAAGGGTCCCTCTAGTGAGAGATGGGACAGGGCCTCCAGATCCGGGCCTCAGGGTTCAGGGAGTGAGATGCCTTCGGCCTCTAGAAGGCTGGGCCAGGGGAGTGGGTGGGCGGGCCCTGAAGGTGTGTGTGGCTGGGGGCAGGTGCAGGGTTGGGGTGGGGATAGAACTGCTTTTGAGGGTGAAGAGCAGGCTTAGACAGCACGGAGGCTCCCTGGATGGTTGGGGACACTGCGCTCAAACCTTCCCTGTGCCCTCTGCCCAGCGGTCAGTGGGGTGTGAATCAGTAAGGAAATGGCAGGGGGTGCGGAGGGAGGGCACCAGCCAGAAGAGAGGGAAGATCCCAACACTGCATTCCAGTGTCCCTCCCTACTTCCTCCCAGCACCCTAACCTTGATAGAAACCTAACCTTGAGCCCACCAGACACCAGCCCATTCTGTTACCACCTCCAGGCCCACCCCAGCCTCGCCCAGACCTCGCTGTTTAGGCTCTCTCCTGACCCCAAGCCCCTCCTGCCCCACCACGTAAAACCCTCCCTGCCCTCCCCCATGGCCCACAGCCCTTAACCGTGAACCCCATCTCCTCTGCACTTTCACTTCACCTCTGTCCTCTGGGTCTCCAAGCTGCTCCCCCACCCAAACCGGAAACCCCCACCTGGGGGGCTCCCAGGGTGGGACACTGGCTGCTGCTCCAATTGCTCCTCCTGGCAGGGAAAGGGCCTGGGGGGCCAGCCTGTGACCCCCTTTTAGACTCTTGGCTCTAGATATTCTCTCTGGGCAGGTCAGCTACATACAGCCAGCACCACGTGACCACATCTCACATCCTTTCCCAGGGGGGCACGGGTTAGCATGA